ACCATCTTATAAAATTTTTCTTTTAAGTTTAAGCAACATTTTCTATCACACAATAGGTTGAATGCATTCCTCCATTTCAACCAACCAACTTCAATTCTACTAATAACATCCCCATCTATATCACCATCACTCTAAACAAGATACCCGATATATCTAAAACTTTCACACCTTTTACTGATTTGATCACCCATAGTTACAATTTTGCCACTAGAGCTACTATTACTAAAATTACTTTTCATGCAAACACTTCTAAATCTGCTAAAACAAACTCATTTAGACTCCAATGTTGATCTTTAAAAATAAATTTTTTCCTAAAATCTTTCTCAAGTTATACCCACAAAAAGGATATCGCCGGTGAAAAGCATACACCAAGATAACATCTTCCAGTAAATGTCCATTAAGAGCATCCATACTAAGGGGTTGTTTGGTAACAAATTTATCTGACAACGAAGTCCTCTAAATCTCGTGAATCTATTAAAACTAATGGAGAAGTGTTGCATAATCCTCTGCGATCCAAGTCACTCGCTGTAAATCCCGTAAAACCCGTAAATCCACCGATTTATGGGATTTAGGATTTACAATATTTGCGATCAAAGTTTATGAAATCCAGATTTACCAAATCCGTGCCTCTGATAAAATTTAGCTTAAATCTTGCTCTAAATGCGTTAACACACTTGCCCTAAAATAAAAAGATATGAGCTTAAAGCAAATCTCTAAAATGTAATCCAACTGAAATAGGAAAATATTTGGTCAATCTTCCAATTTTTAAACACTAAACCATAAAAATCGCATTCAACCAAATAAATGAAAAGAAAAAGAGAAATTTGCATACATTCCATTCGATACTTAAGTATTTACAAATCTAACACCTAAACTTTATTTCTTTACATTACCTAACCGTTCCTGTGAGCTGAGAGTTGTGAGAGGCGGAGCGTCGACGGGAGAGAAGAAAAGCATCGACTGATCGCTGGAGCAGTGGAGTCGTTTAAAGAGGGGAGGGATATGATTTTGGCGATATAAAAGATTAGTTCTGACGACTTATAAATGGCTTTTATGCTGCATGTAATTAACATTATTACCGATGGAAATTCCCATCAATTTTTAAAAAAACTCGTCTGTTAACAAACCGTCCAATTGCGGGTTTATAATAACCAACAAAATATGATCGTCGGGTAATATTTGTTTTTAAAAGAGTA